GAGACTGAATAATTTACAGGCCGGGCCCCTCTCCCAGGACAACTGATGCCTGCCTAAGTGGCAGGGCCTTTGACGTAGAGGGACAGTGGTAAACTTGGGCCATTGTCTTGTTAAACGGTATCTTTCATATACCACAGTACCACCAGCCATGGTTAATTTTACATCTTTGTCTGTACAATGTGCCTTTGCTGTGTTTGGATTATTCTTAACAGACAGTGGTTATATCCATCAAAATGCTTTTCAAAACGGTTTAACCAATTTATTTGAAAAACCACTGTTACTTTGAAAGCTAGATATTATGATGTGTCCTATTTGTAAAACGTATTGTTCTGATAACACTACTAACCCTAATTTAGATTTTTCTTTGCGAGAATGTGTGAGCTGAGAACATGAATATAATATTATTTCTTTTGTTAGTATGTCAACATTAAAAACATTAAAATTGGCGTCTGACGTTTTTCTTGGTTTCGGTGTGTTTGAACTGCCTCATCAAACCGCTATTTTTCGAAGAGATATTGCGTGAATTCTTTTAAAAAAATTTTTTCCAAACAAACGAGAATGAATGTATCTCTCTCTTATAATGACTCTCTGAGGTTGTTCGTCTATTTGTAGTTGTTTTTCTCTTTTCTCCTTCTTTTTTGTTTGTTCTGTAATCAGATTTATGTTTTGGGCGATAGCGTTGGGATTGTCGGTAACTGAGACGAGAACGTAAGATGCCTTTGCATTCTGCTGCCAACTTTTTCTGAAGACCTACCAATTTACCACGCTGTGGTTCACTGATGCTTTTGATGTAGCAATTATATTTACCGTACATTTCCCTTTAACATGTTATCGGACCGTAATGTACTCATTGTTACAAGCAAAAACCCGTCACATGTCGTATGGCATCCTACTCCAACAAAGAAGACTATCGCAAAAAGGAATGAACAGAAACATTAAATGCTTTTATAACCAAAATAAAGTAACGGTTATGTTGTCGCCTAACGTTAATTTTCCAATGTTCATAAAACTTGCACTAAATGCGCAAAATGACACATAAATCAAGCTTGTCTTTTTCTGACTTGGAGAACGTATTTCCCAAATATGGCTTTAATTTGTCAAATACCACAACAAATATAATAGTTTCCTCATCGAAACTTGACCCCTTTGAGGTTAGACGTGTGTTTCTCTCACAAAACGGCATGACTGGCAATATGAACATATCATTAAGTGCTCCTCGAAGACATTTTAATAAATATAATTTGGTCTATACTTAACTGAAAGCAAACGTTTATTGATATGTTTTCTCTCAGATTAAAATAGCTCCCGCCATTTTAAATTACAAAAGCAACTGGGCAAGGTGTTGGTTATGGCATTGCGCCTTCATTCACTTGGAGACATACAGCTGCACAGTTTGTGTTACGTAAAGCCTGCATGGCTTCTATTCGTTAAATGAATATCACTTGTAGCAGAGACATTCATAAACTATAGGCAGACTATTTTCAACTTGACCAATAGCAATGTTATAAGCATACCCGTAGATGCCCCCTGTACCAAGCAATAAATGATTTCGGAAATCACCTGGTAATAGGTGACTAGGGAACTTAAACCTGCCCTGTGATTCAAGGAATGTTTGACTTAGAATTATTTGTGCAACACAAGGGGACGTAAATTCGGGCGGGGGTGGGGGAAAGGGTTAATCCGATTGTACGGCGCGCGTAGCCTGGACGCAGTCCCACCTTAGTACGCGGTAAGCTGTCCTTGAACTAACAAAAGTGTGCTTGTATCAAATCCACTTGATCAGAACCTAGCAAATACCCACTACAGATACAAAAACCCTAAACAAATAATAGTCTACGCTATCATCGTCGTTAATTCCGTCACGTGACTTTGTGCTATGAGGACGTCAAAAACTTCAATGTTCACTTCAAATAGATGGTTTTTCTTTAACGGACAACGCAGTGAGGTGTAAAACCTGTAGCTATACTTATGTTTCTATGCACGTTGTTAGACTCTAACAGATTTATCGAAGGAAGATGCTACTTTCATCAAACACATTACAATTACATAAATTTTACTTTCTTTTGCATGCTTATCCAGTACTTTGTGATGACAAAGGATTGCTTGTTGGCCCTATTCGAGGCATATAAATCAAAATGAAGAACTGTGATTGTTTAGAAGTGATGACGGCGCCGGGTATATTGTGAAGATTTCTACTGGAGAAAAGAAAAAGGAAACGACAACCGTTTTTGTGCTCCCTACATGTCCTTAAAGAGAAGGATAGAAAACAAAATTCACCATGGACCCTTTTCCACTCCAGATTTTGGTGTTTTCGTTCTTCTACGGTAAGTCTAAAACTAAGTTGTCATGTTTCTTGTATTTTCTTCACTGAATATGAAAAGGTTTCCACTCTCCAGGGCACACACACACACACACATACAAACACACACACACACACACGCA